ACACCTCACAGCTACAAGCCTGCCATATAGCTTGAGAAAACAAAATCACATTAAAAATTCTTATACGGGGCTAGTCCTGTGGCCTGGTGGTTGAGAGACTCAGATCTCACATGGCTGACCACGGTTCAAATCCTGGCCTCTGTGGATTAAGAAATGTGCCAGGCATATGTGCATGTGTGCCCCAAATCCTGACAGGACGGGGAAACAGAGGAGGAAACACGTGATTTCTCCTCTTTCTCTCTGTCTCTGGAGAGCACATGTGCCCTCTGGAAAAATAAAAAAGTTTACGTACAAAATTGTGTTTTTATTTTATAAAATACCCAAGTGCAGGGTGAGTCCTTGAAAATCAATGTATTTTTCAGTTCTCTTGAGTTAAAATGAGGGTTTATTTCACAACAAGGAGTCTTTTATATTTTATGCACTCCGTAAGCCTCATTCCTTAGGTCAGGATAGTTGTCTTTAAAAGAAAGGTGTTTTTTTTCCAAAATACAATAGATTTTAGAAATTCAAATTTACGTATTATTTGTTCAACACACCAGGTTTGCTGTTTCTTGGCATCTCGGGCCACAGATCTGAGTTAGGTTTTGAATTTCACTCAGGGCTTACTACATGTATTTTTAATGAGCTGAACCTCTCTAGTTGGAAGATCGAGAGTTTTACTAAATCATGTGTTTTCCACTCTCTTAAATGCCTTTAGGTTACACTTTATCGTCTATTTAGTGATCATAGCTGAAGTCTAAATAACTTTGACCAATTCAAGAAAAGCTACATAGGAGAGAGTGGGCTTTCCAAAAGTTCATGGAAAAGGGAGTTAAAATAAAACTGTGTGGATTTCCATTTTTTTTTCACCAAAATAAATTCATACTTTAATACCATTTTTTCCACACACTTGTTGAAGTCCTTTTATATAGGATAATGAAAGAAAGATTTGGGTGGGGTAGTGGCAGGGTCAAGTCTTTGGCGGAAGGAGCTCAGCTGGGACAGGGGTTTTCTGCCTACACAGCCTGTCCTGGTTAAGCCCCTGCATATGCTGCCACTTTTTTCACAGCCTTCAGGAGCTCTGAGATTATCTGAAGTCAGGTGGCGTGGTGGTTAAGGTGCTGGACTCACACCTGGTCAACCACAGTTCAAGTCCTGGGCCTGGTGGTTTGTAACTCACACTGGGTGTGTACACATGCATGCCCAAAAATCCCAAGAGGAGAATAGAGGAGAAGGAATTGTGTGTGGTCATCCTCCCAAGGGATGATTTCTCATGTCTCTCTCTGGTAAGCATATGTGCCCTATGGCAAAATCTAATAAATAAATAAGTCAGAGAAAAAGATGGCATGGTGGTTAAGGTGCTGGACTCCTACAAGGCCAGCCACAGTTTGAGCCCCAGACCTAGAGGTTTGAAGAGGATGTCAGGCATGTGTGCATACCCCAAATCCGAAGACAAGAATGGAGGAGAAGGGATTGTGCATGATTATCCCTCCGGGGGGTAATTTCTCACTACCCCCCCCCCCAATGAGTGCACATGCCCCATGGCAAAAACCTTAAAAAAAAAATAAAAGGAAAAGAAAGTGCCATTATCTAATCTAAAAATGTGCATGCAACCTCTCATCCAGTATGGAGCTGAGAAGGTGATCTGGAAGAAATCTGGCCAGAAAGTTGAATTTGAATCTAAGCAATGTTTTATCACCTGTGGTGACAGAAGAAGAAATCCACCTAACAACCTAACAAGATGGAGCCACAGATGAGGAGGAGGTCTGGCCCTGGGACCTCTTAGAGCACAGCTGCCCAGGGATCTGGCTCCGAAAAGTCAGTAAAATATGGGGTGTGGGCCTAGTTTTCTGATCACGGTTTAAATAAACCACTAGTAAAAAAGATATTTCCAAGACAATTAGAGACATGTCAATGGGAGTGGTCATTAGTCATTAGGTGACATGAAAGATTTTTTTTTAATCTAGTTTTTATTTTTAGATAAGTTTTTGCTGTCAGGATTCTTCTGCCTCAACCTCCTAACTCCTGAGGTTCCAGGTGAATTTCATCACACCCAGCCTTTAGGCTGGACCTGGAACCTAACCTGGGCCTCCCCTGTGGCCCATGGAGAACAGCATATTAGCACTGCATGCCACTGGGGCTGGGTCATTGGCTAATTTAAGTGTGATGACGGCATTGTGATTATGCAAGAAGAAAAATCTGTGTTTTTAGAGATGCTTAATGTAAAATATGGAGGGTGGAATGACATTATTTCTTAGATGTAAAACGATTAACTTTGAAATAGTCCGGAAGCGGCCCCCACATGGCCAACTGTAGTTTTGAGTCCTGGGGCACATGTGCATGCCCCAAATCCCAACCAGATGGAGAAACAGAGGAGCACCTCTGTACACCTCCGCCAAGCACACACACACTTTGGCAATAAAAAAAAGAATAGTTCAGAAAAGGAAGGATGGATGTAGGAAAAAATCGGAATGAGTTCTGTAAGTATGTGCGTCTGAAGACTTCTGGAAGGATACTACCCCAACTTTTGATGATGGAAGGAGGCCCCCCCCCCCCCGAGAAGCTAAAAGCATGGCCCTTGTTTTTTACTCGCTGTTTTCCTATAACCATTGAACTTTTTACAAAGAGAAGGTATTTTTGTTTCATGCAATGAAATTACAGTCAAATAAGTAAATAAATAAATAAGACAAAACCAAAAACCAACCAATGGAGGGAGTGAGAGCAAATAGAGAGGGCAGGATGGAAGACAGGAAGGCAGGCTGGCCAATTTCCAGAGTCAAAGGGACAGAAGTGAGCCTCAACACTTTAGTTTCATCCGCAAAGGCCTTTCATTCCGAAAAGAAAACAGTGTCAGCATGAAAGAAATGGGGTTGATAACCAGCTAAGGTCCCATTAGGAAGATGAAGGCCGCTTGCCTGGTAATCACAGGGAATGCCCAGATGACGAGATGACGACAGACAAAGGTCATCATTGCATGCCCACAGGTAGTCCCCTGTAATTTGTATTGTAATGAACTATCACCTTAACAAGTCACGCGCCAGGCATTTAATTTGCAAGTGCAAGTGCCTGGCAGTTGTCTTCACAATGACTCTGAAACTACCCGTGTGATCTGAACCAGAATGGCAAGTGAGAGGTGCACACAGAGGGAAACGGTGGAAGGCAAAGCTGAATTTCTATGGAAGGTGTGGGATGAGTCCGTGCCCCGCTTCAGGAAGAAGTCCTACGAAGAACCTTTACATCTGTTTCCTGAACTAGATTTGGCGCTCTTTCCTGGAGTCGTCTGAGCAAAAGCGTCCTCCCAGTCTCATCCTACCTTCGGTGCAGGCCAAAATTGAAGTAAAATGCAGATCTGAATATATTGTTTCTTTTCAGGCCTCTGAAGGGGCCCCTGGAAGCTGGGCCAACCTGTTCTTTTTAGGTAACTAGGAGTTTCTGGGGGCTGTTTACCCAGATGGGAGAGGAAAAGGCCCGGAGGCTGGTGAGAAGCAGAGAGGAGGGCATGCGGGTGAGCTGGGCCTGCACCCTCTCAGGGTTTCAGGAAGGAAGCCATATCCACCTGCTACTGCCTCTGCTCAGCACCTTCCGCCACACACCTTTTCCACTTTGACTGAAGGGTTAAGAAAGCCCAGGGTCACTCCCGTCAGTCTCTGTCTGGGCATGGCTGGCCACATGGAGAGGAGGTTGGGAGGAAGGCCAGTGTGCCCTGGGCCTGGGCGACGCCTAGCTCACCTGCATGGGTTCCTGCTCGCCTTGACTCACGATCAGGACACTCACAAGACGTGCTACGCGTGTTCGGTGGGAGTGTGCCTGTGAGGTTTGGCTCCAAACGGGGTGCCCGGGTGTTCAGGCTCTTGATAAACTGGATTGAGAAGTCTCCAACCTGTCCCAGCATCACAAGGGGCAGGTGAGAAAATGCTGGCTCTTTCTCCACCAAAGTTTGATCTGGTTATTGATGCTTCTAAGAATCGGAAATCCTTGATGCCAATCAAACATATCTTGCCATACTTTTAAAATATTTTATACACAGGCCACCTCTCATTACAGCATGGTATTCCTTTTTCTTTCGTTTTTCAGAAATTTTTTTTATTGCTAGCGGGCATACGAGGGGGTGGGGCTAGCACCCCTCCCGCCCGGGGTTACAGTCATGTTGCAATCCTTTTCCCTCCATTTCTCCAGCCCATCACGATCTGGGGCACATACACACATGTGCCCTGAGTATTTTTCAAGCCACCGGCTGGATCTGACAGCAGCTGGCCATGTGGATTTCAATGTAATGCACTTAACCACAGCACCATGGGTCAGCCCCTGGCTGTTACTTTTTCAGGTGGACAGAGTAAGACCATTCTGAGGCACTCTCCCCACTCCCCAAATTCTAACTACATAGTGTCACGCCGGGCCAAGAACATTCATTTTTTAATAAGTGCCCCTTTGAGTGTTGATTGATTCTCTGAGAAATGCTGGCTTCAATAAAGGGATTTGAGGACGGGATTTATTTTTTAAGAAACCTGAGAAACTTCTAAAGATGAGCACGACACCGTGTGAGCGAGATGCGCTGTGCGGGGCGGCGTTCTCAGCCACGCCAGCTCTGGGTTCAGATGGAACACGCTCCACGGAGCCTGGGAGCAGCCCGCTCACATCCTCCGGCTTGTGGTCAGCTCTAAATAGCGTACTCATGGTGGTGGGGAAAATATTTTTCCTTGTTTCAAGTGGGCAGTGGAAGCAGTGAAAGCCTAAGTAAACTCTGGCCATTAGATAATGGGCCATTATAACCCTGGATGACTTCCTGAACGGCCCTGACAAAATGGGCTTCTCATTTCCTGCCAGTAGTAAAAAGAAATATTCGGACAGTATTGTGTGCAAAGAATGCAAGCATGCAGGGAGAAACGGAGCGAGTGAGGGAGAGGAAAAGGGGGCACAGGAGAGAGAGGGGGACAGAGACATCGAGGTAATTTAGGGCTTAGAAGGGAGCACAGAAGTGAGAAAGCCTCCCTTCTGGGTCAGCAAAGTGACGTTTCACCCACCTTCCCCGTGGTCGCCAGCTGCTGCCACATCACAGCTGTGCCGCCCTGGCTGGCCCTGCTCCCACAGCAGGGGCCACCTCTGCTCCTGGGAGGGCCCTGCCTGGGGCCAGTAGTGGTCACTGCAGACCTGGGTGACCACGCAGCACAGGAGCCTCATGGACAGGGCGTAAAATTCACAAGGCAAAAGAAAGGGGACAGAGATGAAAGCATGCAAGAAAAAAGCCACCGGGCAGCTCTTATTCAAACAGAAATCTGCTGTCCCTGCTTTTATTCCGAGATGCTGCCAGGAAAGAATTGGCTCACAGAAAAGCCACAGCTTCATTCTTCCCATGCTCAAGATACATCTTCCCAGTGCTTTTTTCCCGCCCCTCGCCCCCCGCCCCAGGAGCGTAATATCTCACTTTTTTTGAGTCACTCACTTTTTTCAAAAACCTTACAACTGTAATTACTTCTTTTTTTTTTTTTTTTTTTTTTTTTTTGAGAGATTTTCACTGTAGGGCGCGTGCGCTCGCCAGACAGACAGAGAGAGACATAGAGACAGAAAGCGAGAAATCCCCCCCCAGGGGGGATGGTCACGCCGCAATCCCTTCTCCTCCATTCTCCTCTCGGGATCTTGGGCACGCACACACACGCGCCTGGCGTGAGTTTTTTAAGCCACCGGGTCCGGGCCACGAACCGCGGTCGACTACGTGGGAGTCCAGCAACATAACCATTACACTAACTGCTGGTTCCCACAACTGTAATTACTTCTTAGAAGACACTATCTGAAAGCGGAGTAGACAGATGATGCCCCGATTGGAGGTCCGTGACTACTGATGAGCTCTGTGACCCCGGGCAAACGGTTGATGCTCTGTGACCTTCCCTATCCTCAACAGTAAAATGCAAGAGACATTGTGAGACAAATGCAGACATTAGATCATCTGTCGACATGCCACAGCACAACGCTGGTCCATGGTAAGCAGGTGACAAATGCCAGCCATTCTGATCATATTAATGGTGATCTTAAACTATGGACAAGGTGAAGGGGAGGGTCTGTAGGGAGCAGGTACAGTGTGGGGAGAGGAACGTTCCAGTTTAAATCACGGTGTTGTCATACTCAGGACCGCCTACTCAGTGGGCGAAACACAGAACTAAATACATTGGGTTGTTGGAAAAGTCATGACACATGTTTGCATAGAAAGACATGGAAAAATACATCATGGCTTTTCTGATAACCCCATACATATACATGAGCTCAAATTCCCCAATGCCACCATGTCCTCTGAGGCTGGTATGAGCTTCTGGAAAGCTGAATGTGAGAATTTGCCAGTGGGATGTGTCCAATACCAAGCACTGACCGTGGAAAGAAGGGACCCCCTAGGTACCAGTTTACTCTCTGCCATGAGCCTTAGGACACTTCACTCCATGTCAGCAATGTGATGGTGTGGTTACAACAAAAATTCCAATCCTCAGAGCTGGTGTCCAGTTACTTCATCGGTCATTTTCCGAAAGCAGGGGACATATCATTTAGGAACACCAGCCAGGTGTTCTACGCTTTCCACATTGTTAGGTTTTGATGAGAACGCTTCAGAGGTAGAAACTACATCCTTTCAACAGACAAGGAAACAAGCTTAGTAAGATGGAACCAATGCCTAGGGGTCGGGGAGCAGGGGTAGACATGCAAGTAGAAGCCAGCCAGTGCCCGTCTAGCCCCAGACTCCACACCCTTTCCTTTCTACTTCCCGGAATGCCTGGGTAGGAGATTGAGGGTGAGTGGGCAGAGGCGGACAGGCACGCACAACACAAAGACGATGGAGCATGAGCCTGGCTTTCTGCAAAGCTGAAAGGATTCGCACTAAAGCAGCAGAAGAAAGGCGAGCGAACGTCAGCTCCGAAATCTCAGACCAGATGCGAATGTGGCCGTAACACAGTTTGCAGTCTGGTATGCATCCTGCATGTGACTAAGCAGGAAACTCCTGGGAGGGAGTCCTTGCTCTGGGTAGGCTGACCGTGGCCTGATTTGCATACTGCAGCCGTCTAGGGGCTTCTGGTGCCTTGATTTTCTGCTGCTGAATGACCATTTTCGACACAAGACAAATGGGGAGGGGAGGGAGATACCTTTTCAAAGTGGAGCGTACCCTTCCAATGAAGCAGTGCTCCTTCTCGGTGTGCTATGCCCACAACCCCCTCAAGATCACAGATGGGGCTGAACTCTGTGTAGACACATGACCTTGCTGGGAGCGCCTGGACACACAGAGCGGATGTACACTGGAGACTCGAGGATGGACCAAGCGCCTACCAATATCTTGGCGTTCCTCCCCTCTGAAGGGCAAAAGTCAACAGGACAAGTTCCTCTTCCCAGTAACAGCCCTTTGAATACCTGAAGACAGCTATTGTCACCCCCCTTTATTTTCTCCTAGGCAATATCCCCAGTCCATCTGTCCACTTGTCACTGTGACTTCTCCCCACCACCTTCCCCATCGCTGGACATCCAAGTTTGCCAACATTCCCTAGAGCAGTCTGGGACCAACTTTTGGTCCACGTAAGCTTGCCCAGCTTGCAGCTCTTGCCTGTCTCTCGGTGCAACTTGACCTAAATGCAAGATCAGTATCACTCTAGTGATTGTGGTCTACGCCAAAGATGAAACTGACATTGTGCAGGTGTAATTAAGGTCGCAAACTAGTCGGCTCTGAGTTAATAAAAAATGAATTACCCTGGGTGGGTCTGACCTGATGTGGTGAAAGCTATAGAGCATGGTTTGGGCCTCTCTCCCTGGGGGACATTTCCCATTAGCCATGAAGAAGCAGCCAGCCATGTCCTGAGCTGCTCATGGAGAGGGGTGGCCTCTGGCTGCTGCAGTCCTAAAACCCGGGAAACTGGATTCTGCCGATCATCTGAATGGGGCTGGAAGAGAATGTAGAGCTGCAGGTGACAACACACTGTGGTCACAGCCTGCTTGGTCCCTAAGAGCCCCGAGAACCCACACTCCTCACATGTGAAGTGAAGAGGTGCGTTATTTTAAGCTGCTACCTTTGTGGTTATTTGTGACGACATCATAGTTTAGACTCACATTTCGTCATGTCAAACTAAAACCCCAGCTCTACAGGTGCATTTGTTAAATCACTTTCTCCCACCCTGTGTTTTTGCGGCTATCTTGGCATTGGCCTTTTCATTCACAAACTACATAATTGTGTTGCATTTGTCATGGTACGTACTTCAGGATCCTGATTGCCAACCTTCATATTTTAACCCCTCCCACCTGTTTAATTGTATTCCAAAAACCTAGGGTACTCATTGAAAATGGCCAATCACATCATCTCTGGACTCATCTAAATCACAGGGAGAGACTGGATTTCATTCCCCAAAGCCTTCTCAAGTGTACGTAACGCTAATGGCTGTCTATTCTATTAGTAACATATGTTTAAGACACAAATTTGATTCATAATTTGCAATTTTATTCAGGAATAAAGGATTCTCTTTCATCGGTAAACTCACCAAAGATCTCTACTTAGCCTTAAAGAAATTTAAAACTAGGGACCAGCAGATGGCATAATGGCTACATCTCTGGACTCCCATGTAGTCGACCGTGGTTCGAGTCCCAGACCTGGTGGCTTAAATTCATGCTGGGCATGCGTGCCCAAGATCCAGAGAGGAGAAGGGATTGCTGTGTGACCATCCCCCCTGGGGGGTGATTTCTCACTTTCTGTATCTCTGTCTCTCTCTGTCTTTCTCATGAGTGTACGCACCCTATAGCAAAAACCTCTCCAAAAAAAAAAAAGAAAAAGAATTTTTTTAAAGAATTATTTAGCTTTATTTATTTTATTTGCTTATTTTTTTTTTTTTTAAATTTGGTGAGAGAGGGAGAGCGAGCCACCAGGTCCGAGACTCGAACTGTGGTTGCCCATGTGGGAGTCCAGTGCCCTTAACCACCACGCCACCTGCCAGCCCCAAGAAAAAGAAATTTAAAACTATAATATTAGTCATGTAAATGAAAACTTATTATTAAATTATTATTATATACTAACCATATACGACGGTATATTAAGCTTTGTTATGTTAATTATCATATATCTAGTCTATTTTGTGTATACATGCATATACACATAGAGTATCTTACATACTGTTATCTGATTATCCTGTGGATAGGTTTTCAGGCCCTTGTAAGAGTGACCTACTGTGTTGTACTCTGTGCCAGAGATGGTATTCGGCAGACGCACCGAGACCACTGCCATAGGCATCTAACTGCTGCAGTCCTGGTGGACTATGGGAGGTCATAGAGGAATGGGTCATGGAGAAAACTGAAAGGACGCCCATTCCTGGAGCTCAAGGCTGACGCTGTCTGGAGACGGCTAAGGCCGAGATCACAATGCTTCGAGTGCACTAGCAATTGCCTGTGCTTTGGGCTGTCAGCCCTGCCGTGGCCAATCCCACTAAACTCTCCAGGAAGGAGTGCAAGTGTTGCCGTGCTGCCAGTCGATTGTTCAGTAAATTTACTCAGGCCTTAACCTCTCGTGCTGGTAAATGTGACCTTTTTTTGGAAATAGGGTCTTTGAAGATGTAATCAACTTAAAACAAGGTCATACTAGGTTGGGCCTTAATTAGGGTGGGCCTCAATCCAACAAATGGTGTCCTAAAAGAATTGGAAAGTTGGAACCCAAACACGTAGAGGGAAGAATACCACGTGGAGACCCAAGTGTCCAGACATGCGGGAGACAGCCAAGTGACGGTGGAGGCAGAGAGCAGAGTGGCAGGTCTCCAGGCAAGGACTGCCCTGAGTGGTGGCAGCACCAGAGGCTGCGCAGAGGCAAGAAAGGATCCTGCCCTCTGGGCTTTAGGCGAGAGCCAGACCCTGCTGACACTTAGATTTTAAACTTCCAGACTCCAGAACTGTGAGAAAATAAGCTTCTGTTGTTTTCAGCCACTAAGTTCGTGGTGATTGGCCACAGCGGTTGGAGGGGACAAGACACCACGAAACCCCACTCCTATGAGACATCCGGAATGTCTCAGCTGATGATGGTGTTGAAGCAGCAGGGACAAGTGGTCTGCAGCATGCGAGCTGAGAGACTAACGGGCAAAGCCAAGCCCTCGATAGGAGTCCTCTATGAAATGGGAGGAAACAAATCCTGTCTGAGGTTCTAGAAAGGAAGGTACCGGCACGCGGCAATGCTCTGCTCTTGTGGCTGGTTTCTATCGAAGCATTCGTGTCAGCATTGGCTGCCGCCAGGTGAGCTTAAATAAATTGTTTCTGGGCTGGCCCGTGCTGTGGTGATTAAAGCAGCTGGATCCCGTATGGCTGACTGTGTTGTGTAGTTCGAGTCCCAAGCCCGGCAGTTTAAAAATACTGGGGATGTGCATGTACATGCCCAAATTTCCAGGGAGAAATGGAGAAGGAATTACAGTGTGACCAAGTTCCATGTGGGGGTGATTTCCAGGGAGAAATGGAGAAGGGATTACAGTGTGACCAAGTCCCATGTGGGAGTGATTTCCAGGGAGAAATGGAGAAGGGATTACAGTGTGACCAAGTTCCATGTGGGGTGATTTCCAGGGAGAAATGGAGAAGGGATTACAGTGTGACCAAGTCCCATGTGGGAGTGATTTCCAGGGAGAAATGGAGAAGGGATTACAGTGTGACCAAGTTCCATGTGGGGTGATTTCCAGGGAGAAATGGAGAAGGGATTACAGTGTGACCAAGTTCCATGTGGGGTGATTTCCAGGGAGAAATGGAGAAGGGGTTACAGTGTGACCAAGTTCCATGTGGGGGTGATTTCTCACTACCCCCCCAGCTCTGGGGCATACCCTGTGGCAAAATTAAATACATAAATAGTTTCTACAAGTCTTTAAAAAGCTCTAAGCCACAGGTAGCAGACTAAGGAAAACACAGATGCGTATGAAAGGAACACCAGAGACAGGAGAGGTGCAGAAGGGAGAAAAGGAAAATGGGAACTAATATAAGATTATGTGTGGGGCCAGCAGATGACATGGTGGCTCAGGTGCTGCATCCTTCATGGAGAATCTAGTTCAAGTCCCAGAGCTGGTGGCTTGAAAATCATGCCAGGTGCATGTGTGTGTGTGTGTGTGTGTGTGTGTGTGTGTGTACCTAAAATTCCAGGAGAAGGAAGAAGCGATTGTGTCCTGGCCATCTCCCCTGGGGGAGGTGATGTCTAACTTTCTCTCTTTCTGGCAAATGCACATACCCTCCCCCCCCAAAAAAAAAATAAAAACATGATAATGCATCTGAAGGTGCTTGAGGCTCATAGACCATCTTCTACTCATCAAGGTAGCAAGAACGATCCAAATTCAGGGCAGCTGGTGGCGTGGCAGTTACGTAATGTTCTGTGACCCAGAACGCACATGAGAAGGCCTTGGGTTCACGTCCGGAGGTCTCTCTGTGCATGGGTACACACATGCACACGTGTGTCTGTGATCCGAGCCGGCTGGGGCTGCAGTAGATGAAGACCCCACTGGGGCTGTCTGCCTCTCTCGTTTTCCCTCTTGTCTCTCTCTCTTTCATGGAAGAATTAAAATACAATAAACTTTTTAAGAAATGATCCAAATTCTTTCACATGTCTCACGGTACAAGTTTTCTAATCTTGACTCTTCGTAACTTGCATAACTTTGGGTTCATAACTTACCCACTACCAGCCTCGGTTTCCTATCATACAGTGAAAGGACTGTGCTAGGCTGGGGTTCGAACTGCTGGTCTCAATCCAGCGGTGTGTTGTGAAATCGTTATAGCAGATTAAGGCCAGTGGAAGAAAGCAAAGGGAGTAAATAATATCAGAGAGGTATTTAAAAGGCAGTATTATATCAGGGACACATGTGCCTGTAAGATAGTACAACACATTTCTCCCTTTGGTAAGGTCACAAGCATTTGAAAGCCACTGCACTAAGTGATATCTTAGAAGCCTTTTGTACGTCAACTTTTTGTGAGCTTGTGATTGGTTTCAGAATCCCTTAAAGCAGGGTTCCCAATCTCTGGGTCACGGACCGCTACTGGTTCTTACTATCGCAATGCAATAGTAATAAAAATAAAGTGCACAATAAACGTAATGTGTTTGAGTCATCGGAAACCCATCCCCTG